CTTTGCATTTGAGTGGACTGTGTACTTTTAATTTTGCCACAGAAATAACTCTGAAATAATTTTTGTCCCTAAAAATTTGTTTTCTTCAGGCAGGCATTGTCCACATTGTGCCTTTTGTTTTGTTTTAATATGTACCTAGCTAGGTTAGCCTGAAACCAAAATGATACTTTCCCTTCTTCATCATGCTATTGCTGCACTGTGTTGCTTGAGAAATCTCATCAGAATTGTCTAGACATGGACTATCTTTGTGGCTTTCAAAAACTTGATCTTTCTTTCTTTCTTTCTTTCTTTTTTTTTTTTTTTTTGAGGCAGGATCTTGCAGGTTGCTCAGGCTGACCTTGAACTCCTGGGCTCAAATAATCCTCTTGCCTCTCCCTCATAGATAGCTGAGACAGTTCCTAAATAACATCTTCAGTTTTAAGAATTAATTAGCAAGTATGAAATAGGTAGATGCTGACATAATTCATGGCTGGCAGTTGCTGGTATATCAAAGTACCCACAGAAAGCAGTCTGAAAGGTGCACAAAAAGTAGTAAGGTAGTTGAGGTAGAGATGTCTTTTCCCTTGAATGAGCAGAATGAGCATCTCACTGGCAGCTGAGACCTGGCTCAGGTCCCACTGTTTCTTGTTTCTGGGTATTTGACCTTGGGGCATTTTCTTAACCTTTCTGGGCCCTTAACTCATTTACATATTAAAGAGATTAGAATAAGTTAATGTTCCCCAATCTTTGACTCACAAATCTCTTTTAGAAGTGCAGAAACTTTTGAACTCCTCTGGAATTTTAAAACTAATTCTGTTTTATTACTGCATGGCTTGTGATAAAGACTTGATTTTGAGTAGAAAGTATTTCCTTTAGATTAGCACATTAATATATTTTTGAGATTCATGCTACATCAGAAAAATTGTTTAAGATTCAGTAATTGCTATTCGGTTAACAAAGGAATGTTTTATTGAAAAGTTCAAAATAAGATATTGTATTTTGTTTTAGGGGAGCCAAATATATTTTAATATTTTACAGCATTTATAAAAGGCAAGGGGTTGAAGATATAATTCAGTGGTAGAGCATTGGTTTAGTATGCTCAAAGACCTGGCAATCTAGCACCACCAAAAGGTAACAATAATAATAGAATAAATAAAAATAAAAATAAGTCAAAATCTACTTTTGTAGTACTGGAGATTGAACCCAGGGCCTTGTGGTTTACCACTGACTCAAATGTACTCTTAACTGCAAAATTTTGGTATGTCTGCAATTTAGGATTTAAAAGATACATGGGTTTAATTTTAATAATTTCTGCTTGTTTGCTGTGTGTTTTGAGAAAGTTTTAAACTGCTATATGCAGAAAACTTTTATTGAACTTGATAGTGTTTTGCTTATCATATGTGAAAAGCCAAACACATTTTTATTTAGTTATTTTATTTTATTTTATTATTAGTTGTGGGGCTTGAACTCTGGGCCTGGTCACTGTCTGTGAGCTCTTCAGCTCAAGGCGAGCACTCTACCAATTGAGCCACAGCACCACTTCCAGCTTTCTGGTGGTTAATTGGAGATAAGAGTCTCACAGACTTTCCTATCCCAGCTGGCTTTGAACAGTGATTCTCAGATCTCAGCATCCTGTGTAGCAAGGATTATAGGCCTGAGTCACTGGCTCCTAGCTTCCAAACTTTTTTTTTTTGGTGGGGGGGGTCCGGTTGTGGGGCCTGAACTCTGGGCCTGGGCGCTGTCCCTCAGCTCTTCAGCTCAAGGCTAGCGCTCTACCACTTGAGCCACAGTGCCACTT